AACACATAGATAAGCCATAAAACATTTATAAAGTACAAATAAAATATAAATGTTGAGAATATGTAAAATGATAACATAATTACAGATTATAAATAATAATAACATAGGAAGTGGTAGAGGAGAAAGAGGAAAAATAAATGTATTAATTTCTTTCTTACAGCACCAAGGTAATTTGATATATTGAAATGGAAATAGACAGATGTAACTAATAATGAAAACAAAGAAAGTACATAAATAAGTGGTAAAAATTATGAATGCAACAAGCTCTTTATCTTTACTGATAGGTCAATAAATACCATTCAAAGTGAATAAATTAATATACAGAAATATGACACATTATCATAAATGAGCAACAACAAAGAAAGTGCAAACAGAACTGTTACCAATAACTATTTTGGGAAAAGCAGGTTGGGGCAAGTAGTTCATTATCATTGGGTATTCTTCTATGTAGCATGGAAAAATATTGTCCCTATGATAAAAAAAATATTTACTTTCAATGATTGTAATAAAGTTACACAGGTATTCTATAGAATAAAAGTATTCTTGTTTGGTGAACAGAATTATGACAATTCTTTCCTATGGTAATCATTTTCAAGAAATGGTATGGCTGTTGAAGGATGGGAATCTCACCAAAAATTAGCAATTACTAAATAAAGCTGGCACAAAGATACAGCCTAAATTGCAGCCATTGTATGCAATGAAATGTAGAGTCATAAATTCTATCATGTACTTTCAATTGAATTTGAAGTGTATGAACTGATTAATCAGAAATAAGTGGTTGGAAACACTTCTATTTAGAGAAGGAATAGGTCTGAATGGCACAAAAGTTACTCCTGATATTTAGCTCTGAACTCAAGAAGGATTTTGGAAGAAAAGAGAAAGAAATGTGCAGCAGATACAGGGCAGTCTCAGTGGATCTTGCCAGAGGAAAAATCCAGACGTCCAAAGTATTGCGAGAATGACTCCTCTTGTGGTAGCTCTGGCCTCCTAGGAATTAGGAATCACCATAAATTTCAGGAAAGGGACAGTTTGTGCAAAATTCCCAGGCCACATTTGCAGACTCAAGAGTTTCAGATGCACTTTGTTATGAATCAGTAAATACAATTAGGCTTCAACCAGACTCAAACTCCACATCTCCATGGTGTGTCCATCAATTCAAACTACCAAGAATGCTGCCTAATCCAAGGTGTGCAACTATTTTTATCATGCTCATTTGCATTGTCAAAAAACTGCCCCTCCGTTGGTAGATAAGCCAGTCAACTCTGCACACAGTGTTGGTCTCTAAGATTTCTTTTTGGAAAGTGTCTAAGATTTATGGTGGGAATTACTTATGACAGCTGCATTCTTTCCACTGAGCTTCAACCACCATTTGGTTTAATAACTCCTAATTGTGTGTCTATCCTGTCTAAACTTCTTCAAAAGAAAAACGAGAGAAAGACTTTTTAAAATCCCCTACAGCAACACCCAGTGATTTCTGCCAATAGTAAACACTATTTTGAAACATAAGAAAGTCAGCTGATGATGAACAGATAAATGCTATTTCGGTGAATGTGGATTTCTTCAGAGAATGTTTCATTAATGCTGCTAATGACAGTCTGGGAAAAAATGTAAAATAACTTAGATTTTTTGTGTCCCAGAGTATTTTTAGCATAATAGGCAAAATTTCTGTCAACATTCACAGTCATGTTATTTTCTTGAAAGAGGTAACTCTCAAAGTAATTTGTCTCCAAACTTCACCAAAGCACAATGTCGGTACCTTGAAGACATTGCTCATTTAGAAATCGTTCAAAGTCTAATTATATTTCCAAAATAAGTAGTTTCTAGTTCAGCAAGGATAATGTGGTCATGAAAAGGATGTCCAAATCCACCAATTTACATTGGTTTGGTTTGGCATAACTTTCAAAGTTCTTGGAATAAAAAGAGGACGACACGTGAAGAATTGTAATTTGGATAACATTCCCTGGACTTTGGGTTTGCCATTTTGTCAGACACTCAGGGAAAAGGTAATCAACGTCAAGACTGAACCTATATAATTTATAATTGCTTAAATTCACTGATAAGTTCCAGATTATTTTGCAAAATGTAATACCCTCTTTTTAAATATCTACTTTGTCATTTTCACTCTATTTATGTAATTTAAAAAGCATGATAAAGGGAGCATGAGCTATTCAAAGCAGGAGCCACTAATGTCAGAGATGATTATCATTCACAAGATGGATAGTGTTGATATCTCTGAATCTGAAGGGCTTGGAAGTTGTGTCAAGTTAGATTCATATTGCATCTAATATGTTTTACTTTACTCCTCTTACTTTCTGGTTTCTATCTTAAGCCACAAAGCAGTTTCTCTGTGACTCAGCTCTATACCCACAGTGGTGGCACAGGTTGGAATGACCCTCCTTGTCTCCATCACCAGTGCTCCCTTTTCCTATCCCAAAAGAAAATTCAGTTATTAATTTAGGATGATGTTGCTTTCTTTGAACAGCATACTGTTTTCCAAGTGCTCATATGTAATGTATCTAATCCACACTACTCTTTCAAATGTTTTTGATTATTAAAAAGAAAAAAAAAACCTCTCCTGAAATTGACTAAAGATTAAGGAGAGTACTTCTTATTTTGTAATTTAAAATTTGTGTAAGAGAAAAATACAGGTTTTGGATACTGAAAATTTGGATACTGAAAATTTAGTTTACAACTCTAAATTACTTGAATTTTAATAGCATTTAAAGTACTATTGCATGAGTCCTAGCTTTAAATTACAAATGCTCTTTATTTTATACCTTATATAAAGGGATATATGAATTGAAATTGGGTTTAAGTAAGATACTGATTTACAACAAAATATTATGAGAATTCAAATAATTTTACTTACCAGTGACCTCACATAATGGCTTAGCTAATTACCAAAATGCAAATTAATTTAAAAAGAAGCATTCAAATTTTTCACTTTATTGTAAGAGATATTAATTGCCTTTTCATCTGTAATCATTATCTTAAATAGAACTAATTTAACTGATTCTTTTTTCTTGCATATATAAGGATTACTCATGTAGAGTACAGAGACCCATACTGTCCGTTGATGTCTCTATTTTCTAAAATATCATTCTTCTCTAAATTCCTTCAAAACAATTGATTACCTATAGGAAAAAATTAAGGAAATTTGCATTTCATCAAATTTTAGTTGTTTACCTGATTGTGGTGACATGTAAGTGGACATTGTTCACCTTTCTTGGTTTTGAATGATGTTTGACTACATGTGGATCCAAAACTATTCCCTAAGGCCCCAATTCCAGCATCATGAACTTTTCTCTATACGCTATACAAGTCCAATAAAGTTGATTTTAAATAATTCCAAAATATTTTCCTCATTGGCTATATGTTCAGAAAAATTAAGAGGAAAATATCTGAAGCGAACATATTTACTTAAATGACAGTAAGTTCTCCAAATTTATATAATGCTTACTACTGTGAATCACAATAATTAATCATGGTGCTATGCCACCTCCCCAGGAAGTGTGATAATGACCCCAAATGGGCTGGGAATCTCATCAGGGCCTCTTAAGAGTCTAGAGACATCTAACAATATACACTCCTGACATTAGAGTTATATTATCAGCATTTCTTACAGGCAATAATAGTGTCAAATAAGAGTTTTTCTTAAAATTTTCCTGTTTCTTAGTCTTCCTGATAACTAGGTCATGAAAATAACTAGATGCTATAAATATGTGTGTCTAAAACAAGTTGTTGAATATCCATATCCACTTCCAGGATAATTCATTTTGATGACTAATTCTAATAATAATTTGAAATTAATATCACCATTTTGGCAAGGGTTTTATTTATTGGTTCCTCCATAATGTAACAACACATTACTATTGTATAGTATAAATTATTCAACTAATTATATGTTTTAGCCAGCTTTTTTGTTGCTGTGACTAAAAGACCCAACCAGAACAACTGTAGAGGAGAAAATGTTCATTTAGCGACTTACAGTTTTAGATGTCTCAGTCCATAGACAGTCAAGTCTATTCCTCAGGGGCCTACAGAAGCCGGAAAATCATGGCATAAGAGTTTGATGGAGAGAAGACTCTCACCTGGTGATCAGTAAGCAAAGAGAGACTCCACTTGCCAGATTCAAAATATATAGCCTAAAGCCACACCTCCCAGCCACACCCCTCCCACCTTCAGTTACCATTTAGTCAATCCTGTTAGGGGATTAATCCGCTAAATAATTCACTCCTAACCCAATAATTTTGCCTCTAGGTCTTCTTGCATTGGCTCACACATGAGCTTTTGGGGAACACCTCACATTGAAATGGTAAAATTTTACATTTGAGTATGATTTTTATTCTATAGTTGAAATAATTAGACCAATCAATGTGTGTCATGCTATAGTGACAAGGAAAAGAGAATGGACTGGTGGCTAGGAGTATAGCTCAGTTGTAGAGCACTTGCTTTGCGTGTGCAAGGCACTGGGTTCAATCCCAGTACCAGAGAAAGAGAATGGACTGGAATGAAGAAAGAACAAACAAACAAACAAAGGAGGGAGAGCAGGTAGAAAAGAAAAAGATACGAAGTTAGGAAGACTAGAAGAAAACAGGGAAAAAAACCTCACAAAAACCTGGACTTATTTTACCTGTTCAAAAGCAGAAGACAATACACATATACTTGGAGGTTCTCATTCCTCTGGTTTAATTCCTATATTTTTATTCTAAATAAATCTTAAATGTGCAAGTGTGCTATGTCATCCCTTGTTATCTATAGCTCTTTTATGGCTCAATTAGAGTCAAAAGTTTTGATGATTAACTGTCACTTAATTTTATGATTAGTTTATTGGTATTAAAATATTGAAGATTGCTTAGGTTAGGACACAGGAATTTGTTTTATCTGTGAGGAAAAGAGATTTGATGATGATTTACTGCTCTCTTCCTTCTCAAATTTACTTTTTCATATCATCTTGGTTCTTATGTAAGCTAATATAAAACATAACCTTTTATTTTCAGGTCTAGATGCTGATGGAATATATCGAGTTAGTGGCAATCTGGCAACAATCCAGAAGTTAAGGTTTATCGTCAACCAAGGTAAAGGATATTTTTAATTTGGACCTTTCCTCTGTAATCTCTAACAAATCTTCAGACTCTGCACTGTGGGAACTATGAAGAGATAATGATAAAACCTTTGGAGGGAAAAAGGGAAAGTTGAATAAATTATTAAATTATTACCATAGAGGTAAAAGATAACCATTGACTTGTAGATAAATACAAAAGAGAGAAAGACAAATTAATAGTTAATGTGGAATATATACCAAGTGGAAAAGGGCAAAATAAAAGTTGGGAAAAGAATAATCAAAAAATGAAAAATGGGATAAAGAAAATTTGGTATATATACACAATGGAATATTACTCAGTCATAAAGAAAAATAAAATTATGGCATTTGCCAGAAAATGAATGGAACTGGAGACTATCATGCTAACTGAAATAAGCCAGTCCCCCAAAAACCAAAGGCAGAATGTTCTCTCTGATATGTAGATGCTAACCCACAACAAGGGAGGAGCACATTAGAACTTCATTGAACTAGACAAAGGGGAATGAAGGGAAGGGAGAAAGTATGGGAATAGGAAAGACTCTAGAATGAATGCAACATATCTATATGTTCTACTATACTGGCATATAAAAATAGTAAACACCAAATAATTGCTCAAATTTGTATTTATATTCTGAATCTTAACCAAAATGAAAATATCTCCCCCCAAATTAACAGCTTCTAATAGACACATAATATATATGATGAATAGAAGAATGAATGAATGATGAAAATTCAAGAGTGAAAATCATGTTAGAAAAATATTTAATCAATAAGGACAAAGATGAAAAATTATGAAATGTGTATGTTGTCAAAGAGTTACAAATTAAAATAACAAGATACTCCTACATACCTATTAGAACACCTATGATCTGAAGCACCACCAAATGCTGACTAAGATGGAGAGCAACAGAAAATCTCATTCATTTCTGATGGAAACGCAAAATGGTGCAGTCACTTTGGAACATAGTTGGGTAGTAAATACATTCTTATCATATGATCCAACAATTTGTCTCAGATATTTACCAAATGAGTTTAAAACTAATATTCACATAAAAACCTACACACAAATATATATATAGCAACCTTATTCATTACTGTTAACACTTGAAAGCAGGGCTAAGGATGTAGCTAATTGTTTGAGCAATTTCCTAGCATACAGGAGACCCTGGGTTCAATTCCACTACTCTTTATGACACTAGAGTTGTGGAAATATATCACCTTACGTTTGTCAAGAACCATATAACATACAACACAAAGAGTTAATAACCTTAATATTAACTATGGACATAATTAATAATAATACATCACTATTTGTTCATCAGTTGTAACAGTGACCCCACGAATGTAAGATGTTAACATTGGGGGAAGCTGATGTAAAATTGAGAGTGTATATGGTAACTTTCTGTTCTTTCTACCCAATTTTTCTGCAAACCCCAAAATGCTTTTTAAAAATATTAATGAAGAAATTGAAAAATAGGAAATGAAAAATAAGAAGCCCAAGACATCTTAAAGTGGTGTTAGAGAAGCTATATGTTTTATAATCAGATAAATATAATAGAACTCAGAATTTTCTTATGCCCTTGCCATGTTATTTAACTCCTTTGTGCCTCTGTTCATTACAGTGAAAACAGTGGGGATGCAAGTGCCTTGAGGATCTTTGTTAACATAAATTAAATAATATATATTATATTTCCTTAGTAACATGACCAGTTCATATTAGTTTTTCTTGCACTTAAAAATAGTCAGTGGATTCTTCAGAAAAATTTAGAAATTCCTCATAATCTGGCTTTGCACCCAACTTCCAACTAGCCAGCACCAGAGGATCCCCTGATCCTCAAAAGCCTTTGTGGTACTTTTATTTATTTGTTTGTTTACTTATTTTGGTGGTGGTGGTGGTGCCAGGGATCAATCCCAGGGATAGTACATGCTAAGTAGGCACCCTGCCCCTGAACAATATCTTTATCCATTTCACACTACACTCCTCAGCTCGACTCCCAAATTTGCAACCATTATATTTCATAATGCCTTTGCATGCTTTCTTCCCTTTGCTTTCAGTATTCTTCCACATATTCTTTCTCATCCACATACACAGGCTTCCTGCCTAGTAGAATTCTTATTCTTCAAGATCCAGACTGTAAGCATTTTCCATCCAGAATCCTCAAGCCTGGGATTCGTCTCTGGGTTCCCATTACACTGGATGGTTGAATTTACAGTAGTGTATTTATATCCAGCATCGAAAATTCCATCTAATATAAGATTAATGCCACAGATCTTATGCCATTTTGGGGGGAGAGAATATAATGAAATCTACTTAGTGTTTATATTCCAGAAATATTTTTTTAAAATCCCAGAATAAAAAAAATGATAGGATACTGGTTGAAATGTCCATCTTTTCTACAAATCTTCATAAAAGGTTAAGACTTGAATCGTACTTATATTTTCCCCATTACTAGCATTAAATCTCAGGGCCTCCCAAAAGGGATTTCTTAATTAGTATTTGTTGAACAGTGTACAAGTGTAGTAGGTAGAAGCATTAAAAATGCCAAACATTAAACTCTCCATTAATTCTACTTGGGTTGAACCACCCAGTTTGGATTGTAGTACGTTAGGAAAGCTGCCTCATGATTCTTATTTCTCAGAATCTCTATAACTGAGAAGTTCAACAGTTCTGCTATTGAATGTTTATCTTTTGGAATTTCTTTCCTTCCTGGGAAAAAACACAGAACTAAACTTTACCTTATTTATTCAGATTGGTCCCATTGGACAGAATGAGAGTGCCACTTCTGTGGGTAAAATTGAGATAAAATAGCCCCAGCTTCATTTTTGTTCCTGTTTATAACCAGCTAAAATCATTCTTATAATATATTTCATGCTGAAACCATATCCTGATTGGGATTCTAGACAGCTGGGCAACACATTTCTTCTACAAAGAAGAAATCTCAAAACAGAAGCCCTGCTAGAAACAAACACTAGTTGCATTTCCTGCCTTAAAAAAACTATTCTCAGCAGTTTGAAAAGGCAAAAAAAAATCTGCAATGAAAATATGAAATCTGTCCATCTCGTCTTTTGCATTCCAAACTTCAGCGTCCTCTGAGGCTATGTAACTGCTCATGTTTCCATGAAAGTTGACAATGTAAAGCTGGACAGAGGCCTGAGTTGGTATCTGGTAGCAGAGAATTGTCAGTAAACTGTCTCTCTGGTTTATAACACTGTCAAAATCAACACATTCAACACAAATTATGCTACATCAGGACCTTTGATACCAGTGACTTTGTCCAAGTTGTGCTGTGGAGTTTTTTGAATTAAATGATAAATGAAATGTGCACACCAGCCCCTTTCAAAATTTGCTAATCAGATTATCCTTTAAATGAATCTTCTGGAAAGGTTTCATAAACCTTGTGACTAACACCATACCTGCCCTTCCACCCACATGAAGGTTTTAATAGTAGACGGACTTAGAAGAGAACCAGTGCTAGGAACAGAGGCTGCCATGTACATGCCTTGTGTGTGTGTGTGTGTGTGTGTGTGTGTGTGTGTGTGTGTGTGAGTTGAGGATAGAAAGATGAAATAAAAAGGCAATACAGTGATAACTCCATGAAAAGCATAAAGCACTGTGAAATGGGATGAACACATTCTTGTTGTCTAAGATGGAACACAAATGATATTGAAATACCCTCCTTGTAGCAATACCTTCTTTTCTCCTCTATGTTCACCTTACTCAATGTTCCTTTCAAGGAGGCTTTTATACATGTTTTTAAAATATACGTGTTTTTTTAATGAATAAGCCCTACCCACTGTTAGACTAGACAAATGAAAACTGACTTTGGAGATTTTCAAGAACAGTTGAATTGCAATTTGCGTGTTTCACTAACTTTCTTGAATGCTATAATCATCAGCAATTCTAAATACACCAGTTGAGTGATTCAATTTGTTTTGGTTTTCTGTTTGACTCATGAAATCAGAAGGGATTAGATACCCTTAATTATACTTCCAGATCAGATGATATACAAGTTAAGTCCAAATATATCACTTTTGAGAAGCATTTCCTAATTATAACTAGTGATGATAATAATTATTATTATAAAAGAAGCTAGCATTTTCATAATGTTTTATGTATCAGGCACTGTACTGAGTACTTTACATGTATACTTTAACAGTGTCTTCAGTGACATATATAGTTATTCTCTTTTTTAAATGGAGAAACTGAGGCTCAGGTGTTAAACAGTGTCCTAAGTTCATACAAAATATAAGCAAGAGAGCTAGGACTGGATCTTGGATCTCTGACTCAGGTCCTGGACTGCTTACCACTGCTGTGACTCTTCTATTCTCAATCATTATTTTTTATTACACTTTTTAAAAAGCAGACAGCAGTCTTTTCATGCTACACATGTTGGTTTGTGACTTTCCATTTCCATCCTGCTTATTGATATTGGTAAGTGAAAAGTACTACCATTAGAATTTGGTGAAAATTGTTCAAGAAGAGAGATAGCTGGGAAAATAAAAAATATTATAGTTATGAAGAAGCCTGGCACTGCCATTCCCTATAGGGCTTTGCATATCTACATTAAGACAAAGAACCAATACTCAGTTCTAGCCTTGACGAATGACATCGAGTATTCTCAGTTTAGTGGGATGAGGGTGCATTAGCAAGTAGTCTTCTGCCTTGTTTGTTGAATTTGGTGACAGCTTTCAGTGACATTTTGCTGATGTAACTCTTCTGCTCTATGCAAGCATCCCCCAAAGAAAAATGGTCCATGACCTTAGATGTCAACCTGTCATCAGCCCGTGTCATTACGTTGATTCTTCAGAATGATCTGTGACCTCCTGATGGTTTTCTAGCATGGTACTTCTGCAAAGGACAGACTTCAGAACAGAGGATGCTGCATAACTGTGTTGAAAACTTTTGACAGTAGGTCTTGGAAATCCCACCAGACTGAATTCCCCTCTTCCCCGTATCAGAACTTGATTTCAGCTGCTATCTAGGCTTATTGCCCA